TTTTTTTTTTTTTTTTTTTTTTTTTTTTTTTTTTTTTTTTTTTTTTTAGCTTTTTACATGAGTTGTTCATGCGAAATGTATCCATTTTATGCCAACTTTTATGGGAATTTTTATTTTTTTTTACCTTACATGTCAGGGGAAAAAATAGGTACATTTTGGATACATACCTCCCCCCCCCTCTTTTTTGGCTGTTTCGCTTGTACTTTTTTTTTTTTTTTTTTGCACACATGAAAGACAAAAGGTACATGATGCCTTTAAAAATAAAGCTGATTGGAGGAGGCCAAAATTGGGAAAAATAAAAAATAAAATAAAGCAAGTGTATAATGGACACACAAAAATTGTAAATAATGAGAGTTTTCTTTCACTTGATGTGAAAGAGAGGCCGCGTGATATATATATTAAAGTTTGGGATGCTACGCGTGAGAGAAATGTGGCAAGTGTTACCATTACCCGTGTGTGGGTGAGAGGGGGGAGGGCGACACCGGTGAATGTTTTTCCTCCGCGCTTGGCGAAACGTAGAAAAAGTGTTGAAGGGTAGAAGGAAAATTATGCAACTCAGGTGAGGCCAAGCGCAGATGCCTCCTCCCAGTTTTGTACTTATTCCCCCCCCTTTTTTTTTGCGCCTAGCACATGGTGCTTAACTCGCGCGATGGGAGAAAAGATATTTAAAAATGGCGCAGCAGCCTCACGGTCTACGCCACCATTCGAATTGCGTGCTACGGTGTAAAGATCACATAAGTGTCTCCATTTGTTTCAGAAGAGAGAGATCACCTTTAAAATGGCACTTCCGTTGATGCAAGGTACCGGACAGCCTATTTCGCAAAGGCCTAAAACAGGGATGCACTATCCTTTTACAATTTTATTCTTTCCAGGCAGGTTTTTAATTCGTTTTTTTTTTTTTTAAGCAACTTAGAGTAATATGTACATGTTCATAAGCAGCAACGATTTTCTACAAGTGTATGCAAAGTGATACTCACGTGGAGAAAAAAAGGTGTCAGTGCGACGTTACGGCGTCATGCTCGTCGTATGTGCGCAAGGAAAAGCTAGCCTCTCCACGTTTGACAGCTAAACAATTTCCACGCACCACCCCCTCCTCTTCCCCCCATCTTTCTGGTTCAGGTGAATACGAAAAGGGGAGGTGGCTATAAAACGATGCGGGTTAAGACTCCTCCACTGTTCATTTTGCCTTGCCCTGGTTTGCTACTTCGTCCATTTTCTTCTTGAGTTCCTCACTGTCCATGAGGTAATAGTGTTTAATAGGTTTCAAATTCTCATCCAGCTCATAGACTAAGGGAACTCCAGTTGGAATATTGAGCTCCAAGACATCTGCTTCAGTTAGGTTATCTAAATGTTTGACTAATGCCCTCAAGCTATTTCCATGTGCTGAAACAAGGACCTTTTTATTGGCCAAAATATCAGGTGCTATGTGATCGAACCAGAGGGGCAAAACTCTTTCAACAGTGTCTTTTAAACATTCTGTGAAGGGTAGGACATCCTTTGGAATATTCTTATATACGATATTATGTCCTGGCCACCTACTATCTTCTTTATCCAATTTGGGAGGAGGGATATCATAAGACCTTCTCCAAATTTTTACTTGTTCTTCTCCGTATTTTTTTGCCGTTTCAGATTTGTTCAATCCTTGTAGGGATCCATAATGCCTTTCATTTAGTCTCCATGTTTTAATAACTGGGACGTGTAGTATGTCTCCTGTCTTGAGCACATTCCATGTGGTGGTGATGGCTCTCTTCAGCACCGATGTGTATACCACGTCGAAGCGGAAGTTCTTGTCCTTCAAGTAGTTTCCCGCGGCTCTGTAGAAGGGGTGGGGAAGCGGTAAGCGGGTTATAGAAGCGTAATGGTTATGCGCAGTGCGTAAAACTTAGAGTAGCAATCGAGATGGAAGCAGCGTCTACCCGACAACTGGATGTGGCGCGTGTATATATACTCTTTCAACTGCTCTCATCGCAACCCTTCCTACAATTTCCCTTGGAAGGGTTACACTTCCTTTGCTCATCTTTTTTAAACTTACATGGCCTCCTTTTCTCCCTGTTCACTTAGGGGTACATCCGTCCAGCCGGTGAACTTGTTCTCCTTGTTCCAAGTGCTTTCACCTAACGAGGGAGTAAGCCAATGTGTACACAGCGGTTAATCAATTTCGTGTTACAGGCATGTAAATGGGGTCCCCCCCAGAGGAAACTATACACGGGAGTTATCCCCCGCCACGAAACGGGGTTCCCCACCAAAAAAAAAAAAAAACAAAATGACAATTTAAATTGCAGCCCCCACGTTGAGCCTCCGCACCTCATCTCTTTACTGTGTTTTTTTTTTTTTTTTTTTTTTTTTTTTTCCTTTTAAAACATACCATGCCTTAGTAGAACCAACGTGTATGTCGCCATTTTGGTACTCAGGGAATGTAGAAATGCTTGCACGTGGGGGGTTCCTTCTTTTTAAGGCCCAAAAGAAAATTCACGCTGAGGCAATGAGGTACGTGTGGTCGTTTTGAAGGTGTCCGGAGAAAAAATGCCGCCGATGCAAGGTATGCTCCAAAGGAGGACGTAAAAAAAGGGAAAATAACAAAAGGGAAAGTAGAAAAATTGGAAAAGTAGAAAAATTGGAAAAGTAAAAAAAAATTGGGGAATGTAGAAAAATTGGAAAAGTAAAAAAAAATTGGGGAATGTAGAAAAATTGGAAAAGTAAAAAAAAAAGTAACGTAAAAACGACAAAATATAAATGCAATAAAAAAACAGAATGTTCTCGATGGAAAAATTAAAGTTAAAAAAAATCGTTCCGCAAAAATACAGACGTCCTTTAACACGCGAAGTGGCAGCAGCAGTGGTAGTGGCAGTGACAGCGGCAGCGGCAGCCCGAGATTGACATTTTGATTCCTCACTTTGCAAAAATCCTAGGAGTCACTATATTTTTTTTTTTTTTTTTTTTTTTTTACAATTGCCTTCGCAACAAAAAAGGTGCACTTGTAGAAAGGGAAAAAAAAACAAAGCCCCTCTATGAATTGATTTCACTTTACCAGTGAAATTGACGACCTGGCACCACTCCGCTATGCGGTGGCTCCTCTACGAAAAAAAAAAAAATGTGATGTGGCATTCGCAATCCTCTCTCTTTCATTTTGTCACCCCCTCCAGGAGGGCATACGCATAATTTGAATATACAACCCGCATGCGGCTTGCTGCTTTTTTTTTTTTTTTTTTTTATCCCAACGGAGAGAGCGAGAGTTATAAGCGCGAGTGGCATATCATCATATGAACGCTTGCCCGCTTTTTGCCCGTTTCGTTCCGTTCTCAATTAAAAAGGCGCGCGTTTTTTTTTTTTTTTTTTGCAGGCGGCGCACAGCTGGGTGTACTAACACCTCCACAATGTTATTACTTGCAAAAAAGGGGGGGGAGGAAACAAAAAAAAAAATAACGCCGCTTCGAGTGACGCATAATTTAGTTAGTACTTCTCATAATAAAGGCGCGTATCCACAATCACCCCCCACCCTCTACGCCGTATAGCCTCTTTATGACGCGGTGTTCTTAAAATGACCTCCTGGTTATTTCACCCATAGGGCAAATTTGTCCCCATGTCGAAAAGTCCCACGCAATGCATCTAACTACTAAAGTTAGAAAAAACACATTCGGGTTAAAAAATAATTAATTAGAGTTTTTTTAAATGACATATACTTTTTAAAATGTAAAAAAAAAAAAAAAAAATTGGAGGGGGACAAGACGAGGCGGATCAGCAGAGGCGCAAAAACGCAAACCATGAAGGAGTGTGCCGATTTGGCAAAGGTGGAAATGGCAAAATAAATAAAGAAAGTGTAAAAGGAGGTGATAAAGATAGAAAAATATTATCCTCTGGCACATCCGCCGGATAAACGCGGGGAGGCGCAAAAGGACGACATACAAATGAAAGGCGCAAATGCAACGCGCAAGCGCTATAGGGGTGTGTGTGTGTGTGTGTGTGTATAAACGAAAAACGCAAAAAATATATATTTTTTTTTTTCTTTTAAAAATTTCAGAATATTTTCTTTTTTATCTTTTTGAACAAATAACTCTTGGGGAGGTTCTCCTTCATGACATCCTCATTTTCAGCTTCCGCTTTTTCCTCTTCTTCCATGTCCACTTCAGCTTCCTCCTCCTCATCATCAACATCCTGTGGTTCTTCCTCGGTGAGCCATTTGTGCCAATAGATCAGCTGCGCAGAGAGGGGGGGGTGGGCAGAAGCATTAAGCGAATGGTTTGAAATTGCTGACATGAGCGTCAAGAAGGGGCAAAATGGATTGTATTTGCGCCGGCTTGTACACGTGCAGCACGCCGTGTACAGGTGCTAGGCCACCCGCGCGCGCGCAGTGGAAACGGTCTCTTCAAACTGTGAGCACATGCCTTTCCTTCTTCATCATTAAAACATGCGTTTTTTTTTTTTGATGAAAAATCTTTTTGTGTGTGTGCCAAGCGATTCGTTTTTTTTTTCTTTCGCTCTGCATTGTTGTTTCGTCGTCCCGTTGAGTCACTTCACACTTTTGAGGTGGTGAAATGAGGCGTATCTCGGGAGACGACACTTTCTCGCTCTTGCGTTTGTTGGGCGGCCCTTTTGTAAAGCACTCCTTTGTGCGCCCGCGATGACTCACCTGCAGCATGGCTTTGCTCTTCAGCTCCGAGTCGGAGTTGTCCTCGTCAAACCACTACAGGGGGAGAGAAAAAAATACATATACATATATGTATGCATGTACGCATGTATGCGTGTATGTAGAGCTCATCTAGTGCAGGTATATGGGACAGCCGCAAGCACTTGTCCTTACCTTCACAAATGACCCCTTGGAGATAACGCCGGTGAAGAGAAGGGCGTCAAAGGCAGCTTCGACCAGGGAGGTCTCCTCAGACAGGTGCGGGTACTTCAGTTCTGGTGGTGGGGGGGAAGGGGGGCGCGCGTAAATATAAAAAACGTTTGTAATATACATGCATATGTGAGGGAACCATGCAGCAGTTATAAATGGAGAGTGCCCACTCGGCGTGTCGGGGTCGCCCATAGACCTTTCTTACCATCACAAATCTTTACAACGTCGTTTAGGATGTATTCCTCGTGGTTCTCAATTTTGCTACTCTGCGATGGGGGGGGGAAGAGGAAGAAGAAGAGGATGGATATTGCAGATGTTGAGAAAGGCTTAACAGATGAGGGTGAATTCCACATGTGTGTAACGGCACCCCCGTGAGGGTAGATTGCCCACGCAAAGTACCTCCTTCAGGTAAAGAAACAGAAGCCTCAAATTGGCCGCCTTCTTCATGTACACCTCATCCGCACACTTCTGCGTGAGGCTTAAAATAAAAACAGTTATGGTTACGATAAGGGGCACGTGGCTCTCCAGGTAGTTGCCTGCAGGGGGGGGGAGGGGGGCAAAACGGGATGGTAAAATGGGCAGGCAAAATGGGCAGGCAAAATGGGCAGACAAAACGGGATGGTAAAATGGGCAGGCAAAATGGGCAGACAAAACGGGATGGTAAAATGGGCAGGCAAAATGGGCAGGCGCGTGTTCCTCTTGCGGCGCCATTACATAAAACGCTGCACAACGTACATTCGTGCGTCTGGAGGAGGGAACACAGGTCCACGCATTCATCTTGGCTGATCGATTGGTCATCCTCAATTCTGTTCTTCACTTTCAAGTAAAACGTCTTGATACTAGCCAAGTCATGCTTGTATATATTATTATATTTTTCATTCTCTTCATTTCTTTTTGTAATTTTTTCGAGCTGCTTTTTGTACAACTCTTCTCGTCTTTTCTTCGTCACTTCCTCAATGTCCATTTTTTCAATTATTTTTGCGTTTTCTGTTTTTTCTGCAATTTCTTCAATTATGCTTTTTACATTTTTTTGTTCTACCTGACTGCCTCGTTTAATCAGCGTGGCGCTTTTCCTTTGTTCATTGGTGGGTCTCATTTTGGGGGAGATACTTCCTCCTGCTCCTACCACAGTGTCCATTTTGTGAGGGGTGCCTTCAGATATCAGGGCGTCTGCTTTACTGGGCGTGGCTGCTTTGCCGGGGGCGGCCGCGTTACCAAAAGCGATTGCTTTGTTGGAGCCATCTTCTGTTCCACCGAACACTTCCTTCTTGGCCTCATTTTGTTTTATCTCCTTTTGGGCCTCCATGTGCAACAGCTTCGCCGTGGGTATAAACGTTGACAACCCTTGGCTTTTGCTCTTAAGCAGCTGCAACTTCATCTCCCTCTGCTTTTTCTGTTCCTCTAGAAGCTTCTGGTTTCGCTCCTCCTTTTCCTTTTGCTCTAGCTGGTACATTATGACTCTCTTCGGAACGAACTTCTTCTTTGGCGTTTCCTCGCCCGCTTGGTCGGCCGGTTTGGCGACGTCCACAGGGGTGGGCTGCTTCGCGCCGTTCAAGGCGGTCTCTTCGGCGTCTTTATCCTGCGCATCGTTAGCTGCCTTTTCTTCCGCTTCTTTTTTGGCCTTTTCCTCGGCCTCTTTTTTGGCTTTTTCTTGCGCTTCCTTTTTGGCTTTTTCTTGCGCTTCCTTTTTGGCCCTTTCTTCTGCTTCCTTTTTGGCTTTTTCTTCTGCTTCCTTTTTGGCCTTTTCTTCCGCTTCCTTTTTGGCCTTTACTTCAGCCTCCTTCTTTGCCCTTTCGTCGGCCTCTTTCTTTGCCCTTTCGTCGGCCTCTTTCTTTGCCCTTTCGTCGGCCTCTTTCTTTGCC